AGCGAAGGAGTCTTCAGAGCCTTCGTCAGATGTCATCGGCACCTTAGAATCGGTGAAGATAAGGTGAAGGACAGCAGAGGACAAGTTCAATAGGCTTCGGAGGTCCATGTGTACAGCTAAAGGAGAACTATTGAAGCATGGAGAACAAGACTGATCTGACTTATACTTAGGAAGAAAGGAGCTAATGTCATGAATGTGGCTTGGCATAGAAAATGTTTTCACATGACTCAAGATTGTGAGTCATAGGTATGTTATTGTTTCACCCATATGATTACTTTGGTCATATGACTTATTTATGTAATGATTTGTTATGTTTTACACATGACTCGATTATGAGTCATAGGACCTGCACCTGGCGAGTATGCCTTGCAAGTATGCCCTGCAGGTATGCCTTGCGCATATGACTTATATTTCACATATGACCTTATTACAAGGTCATGGATTTTGTACATGTGACCACTTCGGATCATAGAACTTGTTTATTATATTATAATTAGTTTATAAGTTTTCGCACATGACCTTGCTACAAGGTCAGGGGTTTTGAGCATGTGACTACTTTGGTCATATAACTAGTTTATTATGATTTGGTTTCGCACATGTGACTACCATAGGTCACATAACTTGGGGTGGGAAGACCACTATATATGGAGGTTGGTATGGGTGAGGAGGATAGGTTCTTCACGCTTCATTCTAAGTACTTTTCCTACTTATTACTTTAACGAATATAAAATACCTTTATGCTCTTTATTATTATCATAACCTTTATTACTATTACAGTGAGAAGGCTCTATACAAAATAGAGTTAGAGAAATCTTACAATAGATGATACTGATAGAATACAAAGCTCTTGTACTATTAGTAATGAAGACATAGACCTCAGAGCTATCATGCGGCAGAAGAAGAAGAAGAAAAGTATCATTCCCCATTACCAAGAACTGACTACTTAAAGGAGGATCATTACACAAGTCATATAACTAAAGTGGTCCTATCCATAAAACAATAACATACCTATGACACATAATTATGAGTCATCTGAAAACCTTTTCCATGCCAAGTCACATTCGTGACAAGTTGACAGATTTACTCCATTCCACTTCCTTTACCTAGCTGAAGGTCTCCTCTCATATATCTTGTAAACAGGATGTCATCAGACAGACAGTAATGATGCATATAGTATTATTCTGATACCTATAATTCTCTGGCCATATAGTTATAGAATGCAACTAAGATAGATATATATAATGATTTACGGGCCCTGTAAGAGGGCCAGAAGGGAGTGTTGGAAACCAGAGATTCTGATTCTGGGTAAGGTTACCCTACTTGGAGTGGTTCCTAGGTATTGGATTCCGGTATTCCTAATACTAACCTCTAAATCTTGATCTACAGTGGTATTGGTCTTATAAATCACCTTGTTAGTACTGATTAAACAAATTCTAATTTCCATAGGCTGACTCATATAAGAGCTAGAGTAAAGACCACATTTTAAATATAGACCAGAAAATCAAACAGATTCAGCTGTTCTGAAGCTGAAAACCCCTCAAAGTTTGATGATGGTGAGAAGCATTTTCAGCTTCTGTGATTGTTGTGAGTAGTGGTTGTTGTAAGTAGTAGTTGTTGTAAGTAGTGGTTGTTGTAAGTAGTAGTTGTTGTTGTGAGTAGTGGTTGTTGTTATGAGTAGTAATTGTTGTAAGTAGTGGTTGTTGTTGTTGGTAGTAGTTGTTATGAGTATTGGAAAGGAAAGACATATTGTTTCATACACGTCTCTTATACTACTGCGGCTGACAAATATATCCGTCAGGTGCCTTATCTTGGCACAACGAGATACGAAGGGCCACCAAAATTTTCCTAGGGTGTTGGAGGGTTTAGCTACCATAAAAACCGAAATAGAAGAGAAATGTGCTTTGAAGTTGTATTAAGGTGAGTCATACTAAGAAGCTAGGATGGTCACATCAGTGTAAATTATGAAATATAAGACATATAGAATTTAAAAATACATTCTGATTTTTCAATCAGTTTCACCAAGGACATATTCTCCATCTAGCTCATCATCCGCAATATTCAACTCTGTTGAATTGTCTCCTTCTCCATCCTCCTCGCTATCTTCTTCAACAGCTCCCCCAGCCACCATTACCCCATCTGCCCAGTCCTTTACCCCCACCATGAACAAGGAAGTCGAAAGATCCTTGATGGAAATTTCAGAATCTCTACTTTCGTCAATAGGAAGAGAGAGACCTACAGCGGTGAAAGCTCTTTCAGCCACATGGGAATGGTTCATCGTGAACCTTTCCCAGGCTTCACCGACCCCTCAGGTGCAGAGAACCCTCCGCCGTCCTACCATGCTCTCCGATAGCTGACCTCCTATCAACAGAATCTGCTCCTCCTCCATCTCTGCCTCATCAACCTTTTCTTCCAGGATTTTCTAGTTTGAGATTTAGTTAGTAACTGGATCAATAAGTATTCCCCTCCCTGAATTTTAGTGATTGACTTTGATGATACTAACCTTTAGAATATCCTTAAAGAGCTGGTTAATCGATATATCGAGGGGCTGAACCATGCTGGTACAGCCCCCAGGTATCACACTAAGTGTGATATCGTGGGCTTGCATGGTGTCCAAAACCTCATCGGTTTTGTGACTACCAAACATGTCGAGCGCCATAAGAGTTGGCCGTCCACTCAGCATGGGTATGACCTGCTCGTCAAGCCATTCAACAATATTAGTTGAATTAGCATATGGCTTTGGATTGAACTTGACAACAACCTGAGGGTTATAGAGTGCTTTTTCAGCCATGACAGTGTTGCCTATGCCCTGCCTGCGAAAAAATATCAGAGGCTTAACACGGGGTACAGCATCAGCGAAAACTGTAAGTTGAATCGTTGCCTGTCGCTTGTCCCAACCAGACTGCTGACTGCCCTGTAACCATATCATTTTTTCACCCTGCTGATTATAGGTCCGGCCACTGAGATACTCAAAGGGCAGCAGAGTTTGGTCCATGTTACAGATGTTGCTCAATCTGTAATAACCAATCTCTGCTAACGTATCGGGAAGGTCGGCAGGGTTTTTTGGTCGTAGTTGTGAGTTTCTTCGATTGAATTTCATCCAATTTACTAATGCTTCAATATAGTCTACCGGCAACTGGCTAGCTTTATTGGTTATTGTACAAAGAGTTATCCTATGCTAAGATAAGAAACCCCGAAACCATCCATTTGAAAAGCAGAATTGGCTGACTATAGTTTCTGAATAGGTTTTAGTAAAGAGTCGCTTCACATTTTGGCGAAACCAACTGCGGCGTACGACCTTTCACTCTGCTCGGTGCTGTCAGAAGACATCATATAACCTTCTCTCCATATCCACCCATTTCCTTCTTCTTCCTCCTCCTCCCAATCTATGAGCTGTTGCTGACGCCTCTAGGAAATTCCCAGCTAGTTCCTCCTTCTGCCATCGCCCAGTATTTCTGAGTAGAATCTTAAATCTTACCGCCGCTTCCTTCAATGTGGGCTGCCGGAACTTGGTTGGCCCAGAGGGGATTGAGGCTATCTGTAGTCAAGATAGTACTCGCAACTTATAGTTGATCGTATAGGACTTTCGAGGATGCTGTACCATTTGTGGAGCTGTTTGGGGTCTTACTCTCAACAGTTTTCGCTTTGGTCCTGGCTTCTGTTTTGGCGGGGCATAGAACTTGCCGGGTGCAAGCTCTGGGAGGACAACAGAAACCGTGGAGCGCGCACTGCCCTTGCTTTGCTTACTTCATCGGGCCATTTAGTGTAAAGATATTTACACTATATCGATTATGTTGTTTGAGTTATCATTATTGGAAGTATTGCACTTGTATTTAACTTTCATGTAAGAGTAGTACAGTATCTACTTTGTTTATATTTATTTACATTCTCAATGACTCCTATGATGTTGATTAATTGTCTATTATACTGCCAGTAATGATATTGTGACTCTAAACACGTTGACATGAGGTTGGAATTAAAGGTCAAAGCAGATGTCTCAAACCAGTCATAACCTCACTGATTGTGACATTGCCCCTTTTTTTTACCGGCTAAGCTTATTTCAACCGCTTAGCACATTTCTCTTCTATTTCAGTTTTTACGGTACACCGTGCTCTCAGCATTTTGTGCTTAAAATTCAGGAGAAAATGCGGTAAATTTAGCTTTCATGGTTCCCGCTCTTCAGCCGCATGCATGAAATAAAATGATAATATTGTGGCTTAGTATGATACACACATTCCATTCATCCACCAGCGCATCGGCCTTCTTCTTCCTCTTATTCATGCACTTCATCTTCTCCTTCTCCTTCTCCTGCTCTTCCTTCCCCCCGTTGCTGCTGGTACCTTTGATTCTTCACCCCACTTCTCGTCTCCCTCTTGACTATTCCACCATGGCGGCTGAAGCGATGGCGAACTTGACCTTGCGGTCCAATTCTTTGAACAGCATTCGTACACCCACCTCCAGCTCCTCCAGCACTGCGAGTGCTGGGAAGGACAGGCTTGTTATCGGAGTTGACTTTGGCACAACTTATAGTGGGTACGTGTTGAGAGGCTAAGGGGTGCACATGGAGGATTCGTTTAACCCCAACCCTAAACTAACACAAATATCTACGACAGTGTTGCAGCAGTCTACAGTGGGACGCCAGATGACATAGAAGTGTATGTTCCCGCCCCATCTTCCTCCTCCTTCCCCTTCCCCCTCCCCTCCCGTGTCCCCTTCAACCAAACCAATCAACCTGGAAACGAACAAACACGCAAGACTGACTATCCCGGAAAACATTCAGAATCAAAACATGGCCCGGAGGCAACGGGATAACCTCCGACAAAGTCCCCACCGAGCTCTCCTACATACCTCTCCCCTCACGAACCCCGTCGGGGGCGGGCATGCCACAACCCCCCGTGTCGCACGAGGGTGGAAGCAGCGACCCGGTGACGTACAAATGGGGATTCCAACCCTCGGCGAATAACCCGCGGTTACGATGTTTGAAGCTGTTCCTCGACCGCTCGCAGACGCTCCCGCCCTACATCTCGCCGCTGGAGACGGCGGGGATGCTGAGGGGTGTAGGGAAGACCATTATTCATGCTGTGACGGATTATCTCAGTGCGCTGTACGTGCACACTATTGATACGCTGACGCGTAGGTATGGGGAGAGCTTTATGGCTGGTACGCCCTTGGAATGGGTGTTGACGGTCCCTGCGTGAGTCTTTATCTGTGATTCTGGAATTTGGGATGGCGAAGGCGGGCTCTGATGTTGGGGGATTGTTTCTCTTTGATGTAGGGTTTGGAGTGATGCTGCGAAGAATGCTACACGAAGGGCTGCGGAGGGAGCGGGTATGGGTGGGCCGGATGGAAAGGGGATTAGGCTTATTAGTGAGCCGGAGGCTGCGGCGGTATACACGCTTAAAGCTATTCAGCCGAACAACTTGAGTGTTGGGGACAACTTTGTTGTCTGTGATGCTGGCGGTGGGACCGTGGTACGTTTCGCTCTCTCTCTTCCCCTTCACCTTAGGCTATACTAAGATGCACAGGACTTGATATCGTATGAGATCACTTCGGTTTCCCCATCACTGCTACTCTCCGAATCCTCGATTGGAACCGGTGGGTTGTGTGGAAGTGCGTTTTTGAATTATGCCTTTGAGGATCATTGTCGGAGGAGGTTGGGAGCTGAGATTTATGACCACTTGAAGCCCAAGACGCGAAATATGGCGCTGAAGTATTGGGACGAGTACGTCAAGCGGAACTTCAAGGACGAGGAACCGGACGAGGAGGAAGAGATTTCTGTTCCACTCCCCGGAGTAGCGGACGATGAAGAGAAGCGCATCGAAGGCGGATTCCTTGTGATGAGGAGAGAGGAAGTCAAAACGATTTTCGAACCTGTGGTAAGCCAAGTGGTGAAACTCGTGGACGAGCAGGTCGAAGGAATCCGGAGGAAAGGGGGGAAGGTAGCGGTAAGTTCCCTCCTCTGCCAGCCTATGCAGGACGGGCCGTGGAGCTGAACAAATTTTAGGGAATTGTGTTGGTAGGAGGCTTCGGGCAGAGCAATTACCTCTACAGCCGCCTCAAAACTCGGTTCAATCCCCCCACACTGAACCCCCCATCATACTCTGAGACTCCTATCTCAGGAAATGGTGGAATCGAGGTTATGCAGCCGTTATATGCGTCGGTAGACCCATTCCTACCTGTTGATCACGTGTGCTAACAGCCGGGCAGTTGGACGGCAGTGGTCCGGGGGGCGGTGATCCGGGGGTTAGAAGGGTCGATGGTTGTCGCTCGACAGGCCCGTTTTCACTACGGGACTTCGTATGCCACCGTTTGGGAGGAGTCCAAGCATCCTGTTCAGGACCGTTACTGGTCACCATTGTGGGAACGGTGGATGGTGTCGGATCGTATGCAATGGCGTATGTTTTTCTTCCAGCTCGGCTTACTAGGGTTCTGTGTCCTTGTGTCCTCGCAGAATGCTAACAATTCCCGTAGACATCGCCCGAGGAGAACCCGTGTCCGACAAAACCCCCATATCCTTCCACTACACCCGGAATTTCCGACCAGGGCAGAGTCTCAAGATCGAGGACGATCTTATCTGTTGCGAGCACGAGGTAGCGCCGGCAAGCATGGCGGATGCGAACAAGCATCTTGTGAAGACGGTCTGCACACTGACAACTGACTTGTCGAGTGTACCAAAATGTAAGTTCCCCAAACCCCTCCTACCCTCCGCCCCCTTGCTGCGCTTTCTCCGTCCCTTTCAATCCTACCCTGTCCATGTCCTTGTCCCACATCGACCCGACCAGGTTAATCCGGACAACTAACATCCTTACTCTGCATAATAGCAAAATTCACCCGCTTGACAACAAGCAAAGGCATTGCGTTCGACAACCTGGACTTCACACTAGACCTAATCGTGGACTCAGCAAGTCTCGTGTTCGAGCTGAAAGTGGAAGGCGTAGCATACGGGAGCGTGACGGCAAAGTTTCACTGATCGATTGATTCCACTTTGTTTTTATTTTTATATCATTATCATATTGTGCCAACCCACCCATCTTGGCCGAGATATGTTCGTAAAGTAGCGGGAGTTTATCTTGTTTTGGGGTTTTATTTCGTCAATTCATTTTGTTTGTTTATTTGCTTATTTTTTCGGGGAGCCTTGATATACTTGTATGGCTGCACGGTACGTCTATGAATTGGACTTGGTCCTGCCTTCCTTTCGAAGGGGGTATCATACGGAAGGTGTGCAAAGGCGATTGAAAGTAGGCTAGCGCTTGCTATGGGTTAAGTTATGGCCGGAAGGGAGTAAGGTGCTGCCGACTATCCGGTTCCTGCGGAGGGCTCGTTTCCTTGGGCAGGGGGAGGTTGGCGGTGGGCTGGTACCATGCTGTACCGTGTCGGTAGATCACGGCGCGGACTTCGCGGACTTTGGCGTGGGGAGGATTCTATGATGGGATGCAGGGGCTTCCATGTGTCGGTGCCTAGTCCACCTACTGCTCCATCGATCGGGACCACAAGGTACTGCGGTTCCGTACTGTATTTTTTCCTCTCTTTAGCTACCGGGAGCCAGGATATGGGGGCAAGGGGGATTATGGGAGATAAGGCGGTGGAGTAATAATTGTAAGGATGATTATATGAAGCATAGAGACATTCTCCTACAAGCATGCAGTTCTGCTGTGCCGGTGTGGCCGAGGTTTTGTTTGCCATTGAGTTCTTTCTTTCCGTCTCTCACGTAGGGCGAAGATGGTCATTTCTGATGCAGTAGCGACACCACAGGCATCCTACGTATCTACAAAATCGGAGCACGAGTGATTGTGCGAGCAAGTGCACCCCCAACTATTATCTACCATCACACTTTTGCGTACAATACAAATTTATGCAATCGCCTGCCTGCCTGTCTGCTGTGCTTGTAGTACCATACTATCCATCTTTCACCCTCTCTGTTCTATTATACTCTACTTGCGATACAATGCTGTCTCGCCCGCAAGTGAGGCGATCGCTATCCTGGCGTGTTATCTGTTATCGTGCTTTTTTCCCCGCCAGGATCAGTCATAGCAACACAAAGGAACGGCATATCCCGCTTTCAAACCGAACGATATCATAGGCAGGTTTAGGGGTCCATGCGGCTGACCCCTGCCTGCCTGCCTACTTTTCCTCACTCGCTCACTCCCGCAACAACTAACCCGACCTAAACCCTCAACGGACTAAAACGGATTGCTTGCCCTGTCCCACGCCACACCGCAATGGAGAATGAAGGAAAGATGAAAGGGCAGAAACAGAAGCGTGATAGGAGGGGGGGAGAAAAGGAGAGGGAGAAGGTTGAGGAGGTGGAG